CTGCTGCCCAAATGCCCGTTGTAAATACACTCGCCAATAACAAAGTAAACTTTCTCAAACAGGCAAATTTGCTCGTTAACACTCTCCCTCAAAAGCTCCAATAAATGCGCAAAATCTGCCTCCTCAAACCTCCAAATCATATTCCAGTTCCTGAACTTACGCCGCTGCTGGAGCAAAGTGTGAAAGTTGCATAAAGCGAACAGGAGCCTGGAAAATACTTCCTGCTTACCAGGACAGCCATAGAAAAATCCCTTACCTATTAAGGGAGGGTTGTTGTAGATGCGCAGCAAGTTTCTTCCTAAACTATCCGGCGGCTCTTCAACGATTTTGATGGAATTCTGGATCAGCTCCAAAGGAAACTCTGAACTATCACTACTGGTGAGGAAGAGCCGGAAGTTTTCGCAGGTATTTTCAAAATCCATGCTCTTCAGCAGTTGGTCCAGGTCAAACAGCCACTCGCCCGTATAGTGGCAGTTCTGCAGAAGAATCCAAGAACCAGATTTCCGGCCTTGTGCGATCAGTTCTTCGGTGTTTAAGCAGTTTGATTCGCTCAGGCTCAAGTGTTGGAAATTTTGCAACTCTGCCTTAATCGAGGCGAACTTTGGCACGATTTTTAGCACTTCCAGGCCGGGGGTTGGGATGAACATCGGCAGCAAGTTGTAGAATTCACCATTACTCAATCGTCCGTGCTTTTAGTCCCGTTTTGAGCAACCACGGATAAGCGTCTTTTGCCTGCAGAGAAAAACGCCATTGAAGCACCAAAACATCAAGTGGAAGCCCTCGATGCGAATTACCTTGTTATAGTAAAGCATCCCGAATATCGCCATAAACATGCCCAGCACATTCATGGAAGTTGCGGGGTTACGAAGAATAAAAAGGGACAGCAATCACAAATATTCGTTTGCTGCAATTGGCTACAGCGTACGTGAGGGGCGTAACCAAGTGAAGAACACTACAGCTTATGATGATCTGAAGGAAATTCAACACCCTATCCAGGACAATCAAACTGTAAAAAAATTGCTTCTTTCTGCACAAAATTGCCATTTTTTATATTTTTGCCTGGAACACAGGCAAACCTGAGTTAGCCCCCAAATGAATAAAACTTGGATCAATGATCCAGATCAAGCGCCCTGTTAAAACAGGTCAGTTTCGCATTCTGCCGCAATCCAGAAACCCCGCCAGCAAGAATACTCTAAAAAATAACCGACAGTTCAGCTTCAGCTGGAAACCTTAAGATAAACATGCGATAATAACAATCTGTGCATATTTTACCAAATAAAGTCGCACAATTAAGCAACGAGGTCAAAGGGCTAAAAATTACGCCAATCTGGCATCATTCAAGTGATGTTTATGGGGCAAAATTAAGTAGTATCAAACAATAAGTGTAATAAGTAATAATAAGTAATAATAACAAAACACACAAGTGTAGTGTTGGTCAGGGGCTCCAGTGTCAGGTAAAGAACCAGCTTGTTTTTGTGGAAATTGCATACATTTAATGGTGTGTGGAATCTCCAAAATGCGCCAAATATTCTGTTAGCTTATCTCCAGCTGGAAGCATTCAAGGTGTCTCAACATTTGCGTCTCCTGAGTTAACAACAGTTTTCTCGTACTGATCATTTTCTTGCAATGTACCTACTGCCGAATTTATGAATATTTGGAGATCTAGTTTCTGAATGTTCAGAAATTACGCGCAAAAAACCTAAAGAGAATCACATGCGACGCACTTTCGATAAAATTGTTCAAAGTTCGTCTCTTTGCTGCATAATCAACATTGCCCTAAGACCTTGCAAAACATATTCATCTCTAAAGGAAACCCCATTCATTGTCCTAAAGATTCTGACCGAATAGATTCTTGATTATGTAAAGACATTCACTAGAAAAATGCATAAAGCATCAAGGCATTTTTCCGTTGTAGGTCAGTTATCGGCGCCAAAATATTACTATATGCTGTAGCATTTTCTCCAAACAAACTTCAGGTATTTGCGGGCGAAAATGTGCGAAAGCAAATTGCAATCGGACTGCGCTTGTGTGACCAGCAAAAAAATCAACTTGGATGAGCCGCGCTATGATCAAGAGTTCTATTTGGGGCGGGCAAAGCACTTCTTCCAAACCACCAATCCCCGCAACTTGTTCGTGAGCAGTCGAAAACTCGACGAAGCCAAATGCTTGATTCAATCATACAAGTAATCCAGAAAATGCAATTTTTTGCCCTTCAAATCACCCAACTGTTCCAGATGCGGCGAAAAGTTGCCAAGTGGAACCGGTGAAGAGGATTTGTGGCGCGCCAAAATCCTTTACGACTCTGCCTTTCATCCCGACACTGGAGAAAAGATGGTGTTGCTGGGACGAATGTCTGCTAAAGTGCGTAGATAACTTTATGAACGGAACGGTGAATTCTCTGGTTTCACTCTTAAGTGTTGAAGAGCGCAATTTGAAAATTAACCACTAATACGCTCTTGCACTTGTCAATGAGTAGAATCTTATAGCGTTATTGAATGGATTTCAGGTTCCAATGCATATACTCATAACAGGCGGAATGATCACATTCTACAAAACAGCGCCAGCAGTGGTTTTCTGGCAATGGCTCAACCAGTCCTTCAACGCCCTGGTCAATTACACTAACAGAAGTGGCGACATCGTCCAAACAGACAAGTAGGCACACCGTCCTCTCCCATCGCCTGCAGACTAAA